CAAAAAAACTTTGGAGCTATTTATAGCTTACAGAAATTGGGGAAAGTATACTTTTGTGAATAAGACTGAAATATTTACCTTTCTATCTGGTTTCTTTAAAATTTAGAAACAAATTTCATAAGTATTCTTATTTCCATAAGTTCAACAAGAACCAGTTTTCTTTTAAAACAGGACACAACTGGAGATGCTGGTTACTCTATCAAGGCATTGACTAGAATAGTATATTTTTAGGTATGATCAGACTGTTTTGGCAAATTGAAGTCAATGTTACAGAGCTGAAAGAAAGTCCCTTTGAAATAATGGCTTGGTATTCTGTCCACATAATTCCTGACCATGCAGTAGGTAAAGAATGTAGCTTTGGCTCGGGGCCCATAGCACAGTGGTGCCAGCCACATGCACCGAAGCCGGCAGGTTCAAACCCAGCCCAGGCCAGCCAAACAACAATGACAACCACAACAAGCAAAAAAATAGCCAAAAGTGTTGTGGCAGGTGCCTGTAGTCCCAGCTACTTGGGAGGCTGAGGCAAGAGAATTGCTTAAGCCCAGGAATTTGGGGTTGCTGTGAGCTGTGACGGCACAGCACTCTACCAAGGGCAAGATAGTGAGACTCTGTCTCAAAAAAAAAAAAAAAGAATGTGGCTTTCTGACAGGCTCAGGAACCTCAGGATGTTTTGAGACCTTCAGAAGAGAGAAATTTGCTCATCAATACCCAATAGAAATTAACCCAATCAGAGGCACAGTCTGATAGTGAATCCTTGGCTTATCCAGTCTTGAGGCTTTTAGATGTCTAATGAAGAATTCCTTATCAAGTTCCAGGAAAGAGCTTATTTGGACATTCACTATCCTTGTCACACTTTATGCAAATGATCAGGCTACATAAAATAACCAAAACTTATTTTGCAAGTAAATTCATTCACTAAGTTTTATCTTTGATAGAAATGGGAAACTAGCAAAACAGAAACTAGGTTGTCAGAAGAAAACCTCAACACATCTATTATTAGATTCTAGCCCTGACCATGGTTTTTGAATTTTTACTACATTCCTACAATTTGTACTATAACAGAATTTAATTTTCTTCATGATGTTTTCAGCTTAGGGATAGGTTTTTGCTTTCTCATTCTGGCATACATATTCTCTTTGTGATAATAAATCTATGTGTATCATATTTCAATCGTCTATCTCTCATGGTTTTACTTCAGAGAAAACTAAACTCATGGTATTCCAAACACTACAGTGACTTGACTGAGGTCTCACTATTGCCACCTGTGATGCCAATCTAATTCTGCTTTTGGTGCTCTTAGAGTTCTTCACTGAGACATATCCTTTCCCTGCACCACCACATGGGACAGGGCTATTTGGGAATGAGCCTTCCTATGACACAAGACTAAGCTTCTAAACACAAAAGGAGCCCAAACCACCTGCGTTCATCTACAATGCTTTCCTTGAAATATCTTGATGGAAATGGGAAAAATGAGAAAAGAAAAATAGCCCAGAGCTGAGTTATTGAGTGTGAGACTTCAGTCACACCCCCAAACCCATGTCTGGGGACAAATGTCTACAGGCATTTTCTTCCGGACTAGCTGCCTCACCCATTATCTTCATGTTCCTAAAATATGTGCTATGAAGAAAAACGTATAGCTACTCAGTAACTTTTGTTATTTAATGTAAATTCTTATTAACAATTCAGGAATTATCTCTTCTTTTTTTCTTAAAATATGACTTCCATTCTCAAGCTTTCAGCTTGAATAAACTTTGTACTTAATCATATTTTCTAATCTTAATATTTAAGGTTGGTATCAACAACACTCCACTTCTTGGTACCAACTTTCTATTTAAGTCCCTTTTCTGCTTCTGATCATAAAACTACCTGCAAATGACTAATTTATTAGAAATTCATTAGAAAACGAATTTCTCATTGATATAGAGGATAAAGAGCCCAGGGTCAAGCAGTGGCACCTGGTGAGGGCTTCTTGATGGAGTTGGCTCTCTGCAAAGTCCTGGGGTGGTGCAGGCCATCACACTGGAGGGGTTGGGCATGCTAACGTGCCCAGGACTCCTCCTCTTCTTAGAAAGCCACTAGTTCTGAAACTCCTATGATAACCATTCACCCATTACCCCAAATACCTTTTAAAGGCCCCACCTTTCAACACTACCATGTTTGGGATTATGTTTTGAACACATGAAATCCGGAGAACATAGCACATGGGCTGTGTGCAAAAGTTTTCACTTAGCCTTGGTAGTAACCTGCCCCAGGGCCTGTCCTCTATGAAGCCATCCTTACCTTTGTGTCCAAAGAAGAAGTTGCTAACCAGAGCCAGAATGGACAGTGTGAGGAGGTCTCCCAGGCTGGCTGCAATGGGTGTGGCAACATTGTCTGGGTTGACCCCAAGCTTTCGAGCACCAGTTACTATACAGACCATCAGTATTCCTGTAGAGAGAGAAGACTCCAATCTCAGGGAGCATGATGCTGACAGGGGACTGCCAGGTGGTTAGCAAGCTGGTCGTGAACCTGCCTCTGACCACTCCTAGATGTGGAGCCAGGCTTCCTGGCTTTCCCAGGAGCTTTTCCCAGTACACTGGAGGCCTGAGAAGCCTGGGAGAGCTGGAATCCACTTTGTGACATGGCCTATGGCTCTTGGGCTCCCAGATCACCTATAACTACAAAGACAGGAAGTTCACAGCCCCACTCAGCATGGAGGGCTCCAAAGATACTCTGAGCAGTGGGAACCCCCAGGGGCTAAATATGTGGTCTCCTGTATTTGTTGGGGTCCTCTGAGAAACAGATGCCAGGTAGAATCAGCTGTGTGAGAGATTTATCAGGGACAAAGCCTGTGAGAGAAAACAGGGAGGGACCTTGATGCAGGGACACGTCCTCACCTGCACTCCAGTCTAGGCGAGCCCAGCCAGGCTGCCAGAGGCACCTGGGGGACCAGGCAGTGCTGGCAATGGCCGCAAGAAAGCAGTACATGGATTCCAAGAGCAGCTGGTGAAGGATCTCAGGTACAACAATGGAGACCTAAGAGGTGCATGCCCATGGCTGTCCTGCCTCCTGAGGGCTACCATGTTCTGAAAGTGACAGTCACACAGTCTTCTGGCTACCTATGTACTGCCTAAGACTTAACTCAGCAGACTCACTTGGTTCTTTAAGAACCCTATCCTGGCTATTGACATCTTCACACTTTACCTGGGATCCTGTAACTCCAAAAATAATTACAATCATCCCCTCGATGCCATCTTACAGCTGGAACCACCAACTTATCTTGTGACTAAGTCACAGGTCCCATATTTCCTTTGAAATGCCAGTTCTACCCGAGTCCAAGTTTGTACAGTTTGGCTGGTAAGCTGGCAACAATCCACAGGGACTACATAAGGGACACAAGGAGCTCAAGGGCTCCTAATAGAAACCACCACCAGGACATCACAGCCACCCTGATGTTCCACTATGAGACACTGGTGGTGTTTCTGGACAACTTTGGACAATAGAGATGTGTTCAAATGTTCACACAAATGAGCTCCCCCACATCCCTGGACCTCAGTTTCCTCATATGTGCCCCCTCCAGGAGCTGACATTCTACAAGGGAGGTGAGACCAAGAGATGACCTCAGACATTCACAGTAGGGAGCTAGAAATGGTATTCTCTACACAGCACTGCACAAATGCAGCTGGCCACCTGGACCACCAGACTGTGTTGTTCTCAGAGGAGACTCCATTTGGGGAAAGTCTGGCACACTGATCCTGCTCTAGCCTCTGACCAGACTGGGTTGTGGCTCTACCACCTGCAACAACACACAGGCTGTGACCAGGAGCCCCTCAGCATGTATCCTGGCTGTGAGAGTACAGCTGGGCTCCTTCCTGGCCCCTCTTCTGGACTCTAACCCCCAGCTGATCATAGGCACTAGCACAGGGAGGCAGCTGAGTAGCTGCCTAGTGGGGACAAGATCCCCCAAATAAGCCACAAGGAAACCTGCCTAGAGCTGAGGCTGGAGGGTGTTCTGTGAGAAAGAGGCAGGGGGACAGAATTACAAAGTTACCAATAGTTCCTTCTTTTACTGCACTAAGGCAAGGCACATGGTCTGTAAGATGTACCCAGCACATGATCCAGAAGAGAACCAGAATGAAGTTCACTCACTCAGCAAACATTTGGGAGCTGGTTATATGCTAGCCTTGGTTTAAGTAGTGACAATAACCAAAAGGCTGTGTCCTCATCAGGGGAAATGCTTGTCAGGTGGGGGAACAGACAACACACAAGTGTAAGAACATGTATTTAAGGTAAATGAAACACGACACTAAAATAAAGCATGAACAGACAGGAGCTACTTTAGTGCTGACCAGGGAAGGCCTGGGCACAAAGGTGGTATCTGGCCCTTAGTCGCATTCTCTGCATAGTCATATGAGTTTATTACAGTCTGCCTCTCAGCTGGAACACACACATGAAAAGCAGAGTCTGGTGTGCTTCTTCCCAGTGTGTCAGCATCCCTGGATGTGTACAGCCCACAGCAGACACCCAGCCCCTCTGGAGTCACCAAGGTGACGTGGCCAGTGTATGGCAACTGGGTTATCCCAACCAGTATGTGGGCCCCAGGAGGGGTTCACATGTCTCGCCCACAACAGACACATGCCAAGCATCTTCTCTGGGATGGCAGGGCAGGAACTACGGGTCCCCCCTCCAGAAGCTGACATTCTAGCAGGGAGGTGAGACCAAGAGATGACCTCAAAGGTTCACAAACAGAACACAATGGCCCTGATAAAGGAGAGAGGAGGAGGTGCACGTGAGAAGGCAGTGCTGTGGATCAAGCACTGTGTCCCCACAAATTCACAGGCTGAAATACTCCCCCAGTGACATTAGCAGGGGGAGCCTTTGGGAGGTGATTAGGTCATGAGGGTGGAGCCACCATGAATGGGATTAGTGCTAGACCCCAGAGAGCTCCTTTGGCTCTTCCATCAAGTGAGGACACAGTAGGAAGGTGCTATCTGACTTCTGGAGCCAAGAAGCCAAGAAGGGCCCTCACCAGAAGCCAGCCTATGGTTAGTCCAAGTAGACTAACACAGGTCAAACAGGTTGCTCTGAAGAGATGGACTTCTAGCTCAAACCTGGACCTTGTGCCCAGTACATCTTCAGCCTGCAGAGCCCATCACAGGCCTGAGCATCAGTCTGTAAGACATGCACAGTAGGTTCCCACAGACCAGTGGACTGTCTGGACAGATGACATCAGACCTTGGCCTGGAAGAGTGCAACTACAGAGCCGCAGCCAGGCCCACATACAGCAGAGAGTGAAGGGGGCAGCACAGCTCTCCCTAACACACCCCTCCCTAGGGGAGGGCATAATGCTCATTGGCCCCATTAACAGGAACTGAAAGCATAAAAATCCCCAAGGCAGGGGTTCAGAGGAGTAAGGAGGTGGGTGAGAGTACTGGGCAAGTGCACAGTGGGGCAGGGCTCACCCAGGGCGAAGGCTGCGAGGAAGGCGGTGAGGATGCTGCTGGCACACACCAACCCCACCTTGGCCAAGTCTAACTCCTCCCAGGACACAGCACCCAAAAGCAGCACAGCCACAGCAGCCAGGAGCCCCACAACAGTGGCCTGCACCTGTCAGGGCAGAAATCAGAAAGATGAAGGAAGGTCTCGAGGGCCACTGCCACTCCTCCCTGCCCTTCACCATGTTCCTTGCTTACCTCAGAGGCCAGGGTGCCACTTACCACTGCATCCTTCCCTCACCCTAAAACCTTCTCACTAATCCCAGGAAAAGATCAGTACTTCCCTTCAACCCAATTATACCCCTTGCAAATGACTGCCTTCTACCTCTGCCCCTTGGTGCATGCCACCCTCAGCTGCACAATCTTGTTCTTTATCTTCTTCTCAGGACCCGGTTGGGGCCACACAGTCTCTTTCTCACAATCTCATACAAAGATGTGGGCGAAAGTGCTCAGCAACCTCCAGCAACACAGACAGCTGACCTCGCTGCCCCAGGGATGCCGCAGGATGCAATGGGAGGCCTCTGCATACCATGGGCCTCTTCTTCCTTGACTGCTCATGCCCTCCCCCACCCTGGCTGCACACCCCCAGCCCCTGAGTTCTGTCAAGCACACACCTCTGTGGGGCCCTTTAGAGCTATGCCAGGAGGTGCCTGATCTACAGGTCAATATTGGCACTCCTAGTTCAAGTACCAACCCAGAAACAAGTCATGTCATGTTATTAAAGCCACAGAAACAAAGAGCTCAGCCACATATAGGGAGGAGAAGAGCCAGCTTTGTAAAGAAGAAAAAATGCTCCCCAAGTTAACCTATAGAATTTGAGTCAAAGTCTCCATAAGATTTTTCACGGCACATGACAAATTTTAAACTTCACAAAGATACACATGTGAGAATAGCCTAGACAATTTTGAAAAAGGCTAAAGAGGGAGTTCCAGTGTATTTATTAACAGTGTATTTTTGTTTTTTTAGAGACAGGGTCCTGCTATGTTGTCCAGGCTGGTCTAAAATTCCTGGGCTCCATAAGTGATCCTCTGCCTCAGCCTCCCAAGTAGCAGGCATTAGAGGTGTGAGCTACTGCACCAGGCCTCAATGTGTATTTTGAAGCTACAAGAATGAAAGCAGTGTGGTGCCAGCAAAAATGGACAAATTGATTAGCAGGACAGAGTCCAAGAATGGAATCATTAATATTGAAAACTTAATATGTGAAAATTTAATCATGAATTTTATGAGGATTTAGTATGATAAAGGTGGCATTTCAAATCAGAATGGAATAGGCAAATACCAAATAAAGAGGGTAAGAGAAATTAGATCTGTATATTTGTGGGAAAAAAATGGGTCCCCACTTCATACCATTCATATACACACCCTTAAACATAAAAATCCAAAATGTGAATTATAAGAAAGCATAGAATAATATGCTTAAAAACTTTGACAGTGAAGATGGCCTTCTTCTAAAGATATAAGTAAAAGCCACAAAGAAAAATAAATATAGGATTTAGTGTCCAGAATAAGGAAGTCTACTTTATAAATCAATAAAAATAATAATAATATTTCAAAACCTGATAGAAAAATGTTCAAGGGATATGAACAGGCAATTCACTAAAAAAGAAATGCAAATGGCTGTGAGACATGCAAAAGGATAATCATCTTTAGTCATCAGGAAAACTCTAAATAAAATCCTAGTCTGGAAACAGATATCTTATTCATTTATAGGTGATGCTGGTCTCCTGAGTACAGGGCTGGTCTTTGCAGGTGCTCAGATGTGCCCGATGAATGGATGGATGGATGAGATTTACTTTTTTAACTTGTCAGACCAGGTAAGATTAAAGGGTTGATAAAGTACCTATTGCCAAATAATAGGAAAATCTTTCTCTTATGAATTAATGGTGGTTGTAATGGTATAAGAATTGGGGCCGGGGGGAGAAGGAAGATGGCCAACTAAAGGCAACTTTCTTTTTTCTTTTTTTAATTAAGAGACAGTCTCACTTTACCGCCCTCATGCTCTGGCATCACAGCTCATAGCAACCTCCAAATCCTGGGCTTAGGCAATTCTCTTGCCACAATGCCCGGCTATTTTTTTGTTGTCATTGTTGCAATTTGGCCAGGGCTAGTTTTGAACCCGCCACCCTTGGTATGTGGGGCTGGTGCCCTACCCGCTGAGCCACATGTGCTGCCCAAGAGGCAATTTTCACTAGAGGCTCCTGACAAGAAGGAGAGATACGGGATAGATTTGGTCTCTGAAACGGAAGGAAGGGAGCTGAGATAGGAAAGAAGATAGACAAGCACACATCATATCAGCTGAGGCAACCTGTGACTCCAAGAAAGAGGATCCAAGTGAACAAATTCCAGGTACAAATCCCATTGTTACAAGGACAAAAGACCCTTCCCCCAAGTCCAGGCTTTCTCTCTGCAAGTGAGCAGGGGGCAAAAGACCTCTTATTTTACCTCATGGGTGAGAGCCGCTAAACACTGGGCCTCCTCCTCCAGAGAGGTCCCACCTGTGATCTTAGGCATCATCCTGCCCAGTATAAAACTGAACAAATATTCCCCCCACAATTCTGAACTCTCAGTCCACCCTTGCCTCCTTTCCTGGCTGTCTGAAGGTCTAACCCCCTGGAGAGCTCAAAGTGTGTGGCCATCCCCTGGCCTGAGAGGTCTAGGCATTGTGTGGACAGCAGCGCAGAAATGATGACTAGAGTGGAAGCAGGACGTGCAGGGGAGAGAAACGTAGTGGGCAGCAGGGCTGATACCCAATTTCACAGGTGAACTTTCATGGGGAGTGGGAGTGGAGACGCCCAGTTTGGACTTTCATGGGCAGGGGTGCTGATGCTGGTTTCAGACATTCAAGGGCAGAGCCACTGATACCTGGTTCGGACTTTCAAGGGTGAAGCCACTAATGCCCAGTTTAGACTTTCTCAGGTAGGGGCCATGATGCCTGGTTCAGACTTTTAAGGTGAGAGCCGCTGACACCCGGTTTGGACTTTCAAAGGCTGGGTGCTGATGCCAGGTTTGGACTTTCAAAGGTGGAGGCACTAATGCCCAGTTCAGACTTTCAAGGGTGCAGGTGCTGATGCCTTTGTCCTGACTGTGGATGGTGATCTTTCCTGTATAGGTGGCTAAAGGGAGGGGACAAAGCTCCGTTCCCTTGGTGCACTGGATGGAACTGTCTGTGGAATTCTACTATTGAGTAGTTGCAGACTCTTTCAATTCTCCCTATTGAGCAGTGATTGAACTGTACAGATCAATCTGATTAGAACTCTTGACCTAGGGCTATCCACCCGGGTTCCTTCAAGGTTTGAGCGGTAGTTGTTTTGAAGTGGAAAAGGACTGAATCTCCTTCACCAGCTGTCACTGGTGTTGGGGGGCAGGGCACTGCAGTTGCTTGTATCTCTCCCCAGATGAGATTACAACCTAATATCTCAATTCCTTGGGATTGGATAGAGGTGGCTGATTTTAGGACAGATCCATCTTACGCTCTCTCTCTAAGCAGTCTTCAGCGTCTCCGGCTACAGCTCCAAAAGGGATCTTTGTTTAAGTCTGTATGGGATAAGCCATAATCACAAGCCCCAGCTCATTCGTTAACGGCTGAACAACTCTACTTCTTGGGGCCCCCAATCCAATCTCACCTTACCACTTTTAATTGCCAAATTGCGGAAAATATTCATGGGGTGGAACCAGTGGAAGAACTCTGGCAACATGAAAAGGAGACAAAACAGAAGATGCCATTCATATACAAATGGCTGAAATGTCAGAAATAGAATTCAGATTATGGATGGCAAATAAAATGAATAGAATGGAGAAAAAGATATATAAATCAAAGAGTAGTTCAAAAGTTGTCTTAAAAAAAATGTCAATGAATTCGAAGACAAAATTACCAAGGATATGGACACAATGAGAAAAGAGATAGCAGAGTTTAAGGAAATGAAAAAGTTATTTGAGGAGCTTCATAATACAGTAGAATCCGTCAGTAATAGAGTTGAGCAGGCAGAAGAAAGGATCTCTGAAGTTGAAGACAAAGCTTTGGAATGCACCCAAACGCTCTAAGAGGCAGAGAAACGGAGAACAAAAACTCATCATTCCCCAAGAGTTGTGGAATCACTCTAAAAGATCAAACATACCTCTTATAGGAATTTCTGAAGGAGAAGAGGATGGTCCTAAAGGCACAGATGCTCTACTCCAAGATATTATGGAGTTGAATTTCCCAAACATGGCAAGAAATGGAGAAATTCAGATAGTAGACAGTTTCAGAAGCCCAGCAAGACTCAATCCTAATAAAGTATCTCCTAGAGACACTGTAATTACTTTGCCAAAGTTAATATGAAGGCAAAGCAGCCAAACATAAGAAAAGTATTACCTACAAAGGGAGAAATACTAGAATGACTACAGATCTCTCACCTGAAACCTCTCAAGCCATAAGAGGATGGTCATCGACCTTCAATCTCCTAAAACAAAACAACTTCAGCCCAGAATCCTGTATCTAGCTAAACTGAGTTTCATTTATGATGGAGAAAGCAAATACTTTACTGATATAGACATGCTGAAGAAATTTGCCATAACTAAACCAGCTCTCCAAGATATTTTCAGACTCATTTTCCATAATGACCAGCACAACTGTCTTCCACCAAAGTAAACTGACTCAGAAATTATTGAACAAAACCTAACATCTATAATGGTGAAAATATTAGAAATATCCACTGGACCTTTGAAAAACATGATACCTAAAACACTACCATGCCTATCTATTCTTGCAATTAATATGAACGGCTTAAATTATCCTCTAAAGAGGTACAGTTTGGCTGATTGGACACAAAAACTCAGGTCACATATCTGTTGCATATGAGAGACTTATCTTACCTTAAAGGGTAAAAAAGGACTCAGGGTTAAAGAGTGGACATCTATAATACAGAAATCAGAAAAAAGCAGGGGTTCCAATTCTATTTGCAAATATAATACGTTTTAAACCAACAAAGATAAGAAAAGATAAGGATGGACACTACATATTTGTCAAGGGAAACACTCAACATGAAGAGATTTTGATACTTCACATTTATGCACCCTACCTAAATGCTCCTCAATTTATAAAGCAAACCCTAATAGATATGAACAATTTGATAT